CTTGAGATAAATAGTTTGGGACGGAAGAACTCTAAACCAATGCTTTTAAAATAGTACGTTACTAGGGTGTGAAGGTGGACCACACGCATACTCAACACTCGTACGAACAATACTTTACTACAGATTGAAGGAACCCTTTACGTAAGTCGCTCTCCTATTACAATCGTCGATTCTGTGCTTTTGATTTCCAGTACGACTTCTTTGATTAAAAAAAGCATCATTGTTTCTGGGTTTCACCTCGGAAAGCCGTAGGATGTGATGTGTAAACACGGCGGGCTTCCCTCGCAACGCACCTGCCTGGAACCGATGAATCCAAACAAGACGGCCATCTGGTTGAAAGGCGATCGGATTCCGTTCTCATCCTACGATGCTTGGTGAACTCAATACATAAACACTGGACCATAGAAGGCAATGCTATTATGAGAAGTCTTTAGGCAAAGAAGCTACTTGTCCGTTGATAACAGACTGGAACATGTGCAGGACTATCGTAAGGTGACGAGGATAGACGCTCTTGAAGATGGCGCCTACAAAGGTAAATAGACTACAGCACGCCATGCCTCCTTAGTTTAACTATGATTGACGTAATTAAGACTGAAGCGATTATGTTGACTAGACCGATCAACTCAATGGATAGTTAAATAATTCGTAAACCATTAAGAAGTTTTGCTGGTGATTGTAATGCACCTAACGGCATTGTTCAAGTTTAAGTTTTTGCAACGGATTCTGGCAATTCATATAAACATATTTATTTGAAAAGTGTTTTAATTTATTTTTTGCATTGCACAATAGACTGTCACTTTCTGAATGTGTTTTCGTCTTTTACTAATCTAACCAATAGGTCATTACTCGTATATATATTCATCTTACCAGTTCCCAAGGTTTGGAGTCCGATTGACAATTTACCGAATGTGAGGGTTCCATCTTTGCAAATAATTTTGGTACTGACAACGATTTACAATTCTTTATATGATTCTTGATACACCCCGTCGTCGACGACACATATTAGACCAGTTTCCTACTGGGTGTTTCCACCCTCATCGGTATCCTTGAAAGATATGATAATATTATAAAATGTTATCTACAATTTTGAGTTGGAATAAAATAGTAAATGGTGTATGTAATGACCGACTCAATTCAATATCAACGAGGGATGTGTCATTATAACGGTTCAGGGGGTTCTATTCCAACATTGCTTTCAAATATATCTTCATATTTCGTCATTTTTTGATTCAAATGAGACTCTTATCAAAGTGTCTGCGCATCACGTGGTGCAAATTGTTGTCATTCTATTCTTAGACGCCCACCCTCAAAAGTAATGGTCTCCTCCTAACTGATATCGTTCAAACCCTTTTGACTTTGGAATTTTAAGTTGAACTCTCATGCGGATGTATTAATATTTAGGTGCTATCTTGGACTGGACGTCGTAGTCTCGATGGACCACGGTCAGGGGACTCCCTTAGGTTATTAACAGAAATATTATTGTAACAAAGTATTCTGTAATCGCGACGTGGACAACTTTTCAGTATATGAACTGTAATTAAAATAGACAGATTCATTGTGATGTGCATGGCGTGTTCAACAACCCCCACATTGTGTATGATCCTACCCACGCACATGCCAACTAAACTAATCAGAGAAATAAAAGTTAAAACTACGGAACTTGAATAACGTTTACAGTTCGTAGCGGCACATTCGTACCAGTTAACTAGAGTGGATGTGTTTAAGGTTCGCTGGCCTCTCAATCATTGCCAAGGAAGTGGAAGCTTTATATGACATCCAGTCAGTTGGAAATGATACTATTTCGACTCGTTGTTTTGCTACTGGACTTTGTGGATAGATTGACACTCACTGGTTTCATTGGAGCATAGCGAATATCACGAATTATTATCCGACATCACCATTAAGCGCAATCACCTTTACATTGAACTACACACACTACACAATATATAGTAATACATTACTACACATTCAAAACCAAAGTAGTATCACCAATTTAGCAACGTATTATTAGAAGAATTATGATCCCTGTTGATGCAATATAAACCATTACTAGGTCATCAGAACTCCTGTTACGCAACAATAACGTCAGTAACGTATTTATTACTAGTTATTTGTCAATTCCGTAATGTAATGCCATTACTCCAGAAATCTTCACCAAGAATTCACACATTCTATTTCTCTCCGACAACAAACCAGTAACCATGACAACACACCTATGAGTTTAAAACTGCTAAATATGTGCTGAGTACAAACGTATTCACACTACCTCTTCGATAATGAAAAGTTGAAACTCGATGCATCGTGTTGTGTAACTTTTATCATTTAAAAACTTCCAAGGTTGCCTAATCCTGTTACTACAGGGAAACAACCAGATGGAATTTATAAAAGAAAACTATTTTATAAGTACAATGTTTTATTATTTACCATTTCACAATCAGAGAGAATTAACCCAGATTTTCTCCATGGTCGTCGACTCATGAGACTCACTTTGTGGTCGGGATTTTACAATGTGACGTCACCTTATTAACGTAGACAAAAAAAATGATTAAGTATTGTAGGTGGAGTGTGATTAATTCGATTCGTGACCACAGACACAGGTCGATTACACGCTGCGTTCACAGCCACACCGCTGAGAATTCGTACGAGTTGGGTGTTCTATGTTTTATTTTCACATGCCATCTTTAACAGTCGGCAACCCAGTAAGTACTTATACTGGTGAACAAGAGGGGGGGGGGGACTTGCTCCGTGATGGATTTTTAAAAATGCCTACAGTATACTTCATACGTTACCGAGTGGTTAGTTAGAGAAAACACACTTGGACTCATAAATCCAATACTTTAGAACGCACCTGCCAGTGAAGGAGTCAAACATTCAGCCCGATTCCCAAATGTGCGTTCGTGGTGCTCAGTCTATCACGGCGTGTATGAGTGAGACCCAGAACAGTGAAAAATAAAAAAATCAAGCCACCAATGACAGACAGTGTGATTGATGGTGCCGTCGATGGAATCTATTGTGAATTAATAATACTTAATTGTTCAGCAAAAACATCTAGTTTGGTTCATGTACAATGAATGTTTTGTTTTCATAATAAAATAAAAGTATAAAATGAAAATTACGAATTTGTTTGGAGTTGGTGTGTTATTAGTAACGGAAATTGTTGTTGTTTGCTTGTTTTGTTAAGTTCCGTCAAACACCAATTATAATTCGTATTCACAATCTCCGAACATAATGTTGAACCGTAACCAAGTGTTCTCCACATTTCACTCTGGACACGATACGTCAGCTATAACACCCCCTCCATTTCCGTAAACAGGCAAGGACAAATGGTTCCCGGTGCTAAACATGTTTATTCTGAGATAAACATTGATATTCTAGTATTTCTAGTCTCATTTATTCCCAATATGATGAGTGCACCATGTCGATTTCACTTTCGTACCAGAAGCGCGTTAACTATGCACCGCGAGACTTGCCATCGAGCTTGGCCGGAAAGTAATTTATTTTATTTTAATCGGCGCTGAGATCGGAGTGTTCCGCTCTACGTACGTGCTCGTCCTGTGTATATCATTTGCTTCTGCGTACAGCGTGAACTGAGATTGAGTTGACGTCGTATTGCGAGTGTCTCAACAGGACGTCGCTATATGCCAATCAAAAAAAAAAAACTTCTACGTTTTCCGCACTTTGGACACAGGGTGCGCTAATACACCACACTGTAGCGAAGCCGCGATTGCAAGTGGGCGTGTCACAATATGGGTTGGCACTTGAATAATTGTTGGCCACCCAAGTTGAAAGGCGATGCTTTCCCGTTTTGACGTGTAATTAGAGACGCCCTTTCTTGAAATATAGACCACATGCTGGGCGCTCCTGCATAATAGTACGGACATCTCAATCCTCCGAAATAATACCACAGAATTGGGGCCCTCTAGCTTATTAGAATTAAACTATTGAGTACAGTATTTGTCGTAAACACATTATGAATCTCTGCTTCGCCGGAGTGCGACTGGGAGCCAGCCCGACGGTACTCTCAAGTCAATCCCGTTGAAATACACATAATATTAGACATTCATTTGTATTTAAATAATTGCATGTATATGTCATATCTTTACATTTTTATCCAATTACGATACGTTTTTGAAGAAGCAATTAGGGGGGGGGGGTTACATCACCCCTTTTGGCAGCTAGCTATCTTTGAGACGACGAAAAATGATAAATTTTAATGGGAACTTTATAGTTGTTTATTTTTTAGAATTTGTTTGACAATAGTATATGAATTATATATTTATATATACAATAATCATATTATTAACAATAAAGAGGACAATCTGTCACGTAGGAACCAATCTTCAAAGTATTTAGCAAAATTTTGTTTTAACATTCTCAAAAAAAAAAAAAAATTACCTGAGGTGGTCAAGGGATTCCATCGGTCAGTCACAACTATTTTGATGTAAAACGCACTGGTGGAAATCATCAATAACTATTCGGCAGTGTTTAAAGAAAACCGCGAACTGCCTCGGGCGTATTACCTTTTACTCGCAAAGAGGGATTACATAAACTTGACCGGGACAAATGAGTTTTTAAATATCATTGTCATACCCAGTTATGAGAAGCATAGCTTTTTAAAGATTTTGCAAGTTTTTTAATTCATGCAATACTTGACGCCGACCTACAGCTGGGTTTTAGAACGCCACTTCACTCTAAACTGTTCACTAGTCGTTGAAAACTTTACTGCATTTTTGCGATAGTTGTTTATGTGAGCAGTGCCTAAAAGCATCCTCTTTTTATCCTATCCCAACTTCTTGTGTGGTCTACCTCTTTTTCTGGTGACGTTACTAAGCAACTAATGAGAACTCGTGTTACATGAGTCATTTGGCCGTGAGTGACCAATCAGATTGAAGAAAATTGACCCTTCTGTGGGGCCGTTTGACAGGAGGGGGCGTGGTTACACGTAATGTATTCAGCGCTTACCAGTTCTATTCATTTGCGCGTATTTAGTGAAAGCTTGTCACAAGGCTTAGTACGTACGGTACTGTTGCGAACTTGAACACCGGTCAAAAACAAGCTTGTTGGATATTTTAGTCATTCGCTGGACACTTCCAGCGAGTCTCGAAGAGGTATATAATCTACATGGACCGTACCTACCAGGAATTTTGTGATTACGTTGTGTTTTAGTCGAAGAAACGTGGGTCCGGTCGTCACGCGGTGTGTGTGTTGGTCATGACGGCGGACGAGTCTAACTTTCCACTCTCTTGTGCATGTTGTCTTACAGGATGATGAACCACGGTTAAACTCGACGGATTCCTTTATGGCGGATAGAAACGACGATCTGCTAACTCGGACGAGCTGGTGTGACGCCAGACATGCACAAAAGGAAATAGATCGGGTCAGTATACTAACATTTTCAAAGTAAATGTTTTGGAGTTTTAACCGTCTGCTTCAACGGTCACACACACGCTTGCAACGGGACAGCTTTCACATCGTATACTGTTTACATATGCTTTCGTACTATCACTCGGCGAAACGACCAAGTGCTCACCGATCTAAACCCGACCCCAGCGCTTCAGATCACCCACAGCACTATCACAGGGACTTGCCCCACTGTCCTGATGAATATCACTATTTACTTGTTGACGATTACGAGTGAAACA